GAATGCAAACATACCAGTCATCATATGTAACCTCGAGAAGATAATTCCTCCAACATTCTTTGATGTAATGGAACATCTTGTTATTCATCTCGCAAGAGAACTGAAACTTGATGGTCTTGTGCAGTACAGATGGATTTATGTTTTTGAACATTATATGCATCATCTGAAGAAGATGGTCAAAAATAACAGCAGGGTGGAAGGATCTATAGTCGCGCAGGTGATCAATGAAGAAACTGCAATCTTTGCCGAAAACTATTTTCCATCGGAATCATTAAAATAAAAACCCTATCTTCTTTCGTCTTCGACATTTCTGCTTCTCTCTCTTAACTCTCTCCGATTTCTCTCTTTGACGGCGATTCCCGCGATTTCCAAGCTCCCTTCTCCGGCGACTCCTCTTCACAAGCTCACATCTCTTCCCCACACCACAAATCATGTAAGATTCTATAAAACCTTTGTATATTTCAATTTTTTAGGGTTTAGGATGTTAGATATTAGAATATGAGGTTGCTTGATTGAAAACTTTAGGATTGAATGGATAGTTTAGGATCTATTAGCTAGGTTTGTTGTTGTTTTTTTTGGAATTATATGGTGTAAATCTTTAAAATATAAAACGTTTTTGTATTTTTAAAGCGTTTTTTATTTATTTTTAAATTTGTTTTTTTTAAGAAGTTTTATTTTATTTTTAAAAACCTTTTTGGGGTTTACAGTAATATATTATATATAATAAAATATTTTTTATAATTTTTATATATATTTAACAACTTTTTCTATATTTAATAAACGTTTTATAAATATTTTTAATAAAAAAATGATTTTATATTTTATATAGATAAAAACGTATATAATTATTTTTATATATTTAACAACCTGATCTATATTTATAAAAAAATTAAAAAAATTTATTATTTTTTATACATAAATATAGTTATAAATCATTTTTAGATGTAGAAATCAATTTTAATAATTTTTTTGAAAAGCTTTGAAAAGAATTCTGATGTATTATAACATTTTTTTAGGTCCGAAGATGCACCCACCTGTTCCGCATTCCCCCGTCATCCCGCATACTGTGGCAGCCGAGGTAGTTCGGTAAGTAGTTCCCGTGCATCGGGATCATCTCACAAACAAAACTTGGTTCCCGGATATGTTCCCGCTCCCCCTCCATATGTTCCCCCTCCAGCTGCTGAGCAAGATCCGGGGGTCATGTCAGTTGAACTATTTGTTCAACAACTAGGTCGAGAGCGTCTCCCGGTTCTCCATCCCAACCCACGACCGGGACATACGACTTGGTTAGTATTTTTATTTTATTTGTAGAATTATGTTTTTTTCATTAATTAACTTTCTAACATGCATTTTTTAAAAAGGTTTGACAAGTCGAGCAATGACATTAGCAGGAGCATCAACAATTTGATGTATTCCATGCTCCGTACCGGATATCTGAAGTGGTGTGTGATCCCTCAAGAGGACCGGGAGTTGTGGTTTCGTCAGTTTGCGGTAACTCTTCAGTTTTATTTAAAGCATGTTTCATTTTTTATATATATCTACTTATTAAATTATGTGTGTTTTGTATCAAGAATTCACTTGGGAGTCTGGTCTCACGGAAACAGTCCGTCAGAGATTCAACGAAAAGGCCATGGACTCTTATACAAAGCAGATCAACGCGTGGAAGACAGTATGGCAGATCACTGTCATTAAGGAGGCTCACACTAATAAGAAGACGGGTCAAGTTCAAGACCCCGTGATCAGATCTGTCGTTGATTTGGTGGAAACTCAAAAAGAAGCTCTTCTAGCTTTTCAGCTTCTCTCTGATAACGGCGATTCTACGGGAGCTTCAACCAACATTTTCCGGTTGCAAATAAATGATATGGTCGAAAAGGTAATTTTTAATTAATATATTTATTTTATAATGTAGTTTACTAACTTTAAATATTTTTGTAGGCGGTTCTTAAAAGGAAAGGAGGTCGTTTAGTTGGGTTGGCTCGCCGTTCTTCTTCGTGTCCGGCGTCTTCTTCGCAAGCTTCGTATACCGATCCCATGATTCTGGAGCAGCTACAGAACAAAGATGAACGGATTATGGCATTAGAGGAGCAGAACAACACTATCCTCGCTGAGCTGGAATCCCAAAAGAAGACCAACGCCCAGATAATGGAAAGGCTAAATCGTTTGTTTCATTCTGAATTTTAAAACTTTGTGTTTTAAAACTTTGTGAATGTTTTTTTTCTATTTAAGTTTGTATGAATTTAAATTCTATAATATTATTAGTTTAAATTTTAGATTTTATTTATTATATTAAGTTTAAATATAAAAAAAATATTTAAAAATTAAAAAATTATTTTACAATAAAAATGGTATATTTCGACGATATTGGTTCGTCAGAAAATAACGACGAACGGTTTCGTCGAAATATACTGACGACTCTATGTCGTCAGAATATATCGACAAAACACAGTCGTCAGTATATATTGAGGAAATGATATCCTCGGAATATACCGACGAACAATTTCCTCAGAATATACCGACGACCTTGTTTTGTCGATATATTCGACGACGTATGTTCGTCGGAATATAGTGATTCTGATGAATTCTGTTCTCGGAAGATGTTATCGGAGTTTCGTGAGAAAGTTGTTTTTTGGTATTCGTCAGAAAATCGTCAGAAACTGCAACAAAATTCTTATGAATTATTTTTTTCGACGAAATGATACTGACGACCATTTTCGTTAGGAATTCGTCAAAATATGTATATTTCGACGAATTTCTAACGATTTTGTCCGTATGTTTTCTTGTAGTATTAGTAACTTGGAAATGACATGTTTACAAAACATATTTACACATGTTTTATTATATATTTTTTTTTAATGTAGAAAAGTAATTTAAAGAATACTGATTCTTTAGTTATTATTTGAGAAGTGATTTTGGAAAAAAAATGACATGACATACTAACAAATATGACATGGTTTGATGTTAATTATAACATACATTTACATTAATTGTTATATATATTTTTGGTAAATTTTTAAAATATGATAATAATTCATAAATCATCATTAATATAATAATCAATAATATAATAGTAAAATAAAATAGAATAACATTTTAAAATTTCTTCTTAAATTCATTTTTATAGTTTTATAGTTTATAATTTTTATTACTAAACAAACTTAAAAAACATGAATTTTTTTGAAAATTATTATTCCATTAGTATAAGTTTCTTTTAACTATCTACAAATTTTAGAAATATTATTTAATTTTAAGTTTTGATAATTATATACCTAACAAAATAATAATTTTCTAGAATTTATTTAATATATTTTAATTAAAAGCAAAAGAGAAAAATATTTATTAGATTATAGTTTCAAATTTATACATATATATTATTAAATATAAATTTAAATAAAAATATATTTTATCTTAATTTTAATATATAATTAAATTAAAATTAAAATATTGTACAAATATTTACTGATAAATATGATTTAAATTTTAAAAAAATTTATTCGTGCACATGGTATAGGAAAACACCTAATTTATTATGATACTAGATATTGACCCGCCCTTTAAAGGGCGGGGATATTTTTTTATATTACACTTAGTTTAGAAATTTAAATTTTCTATTTGTGTGTGTTTTAATTATATTTATGTTTTTTTGTGTAATCATATTTGTATCAAATATTTTTCATAAATGATTAAAGAAGTTTTAATTTAATCTATACTATTAAAACACAAGGCCCTTTTTTGAGGTGCCCTTGGTTTTCAATAGTAATTACAGATTCATGCCACTGAATTATTTTTTAAGCTATGATTTGTATCAATCGGTTTTATCCGATGCAAGTGGGTTTGACCCGAATTTAAAAGATTGACAAAATCTTTGTTTAGTTGTAAACGAATATACCCTAAATCCCTAAAAATATTGAACGACATCTATTTATATTGATGAAGCTTGGTACAAATGGTTTCCACACTTCCATTCCTACGATTGGCAACAATATGCTTGATGATTTTTCTATTCTGTCCTCCATTCCTACGATTGGCAGCATATGTGATATTTTTGATGAGATTCTTTTGTGTTCATCCGCTAAGCAGTGGGGTTTTGATTTTATTTTTTGTTTGGGTTTAAGTTTGATGAGTTTAGTAAGAAACTTTACAGATGGTGAAGCCTGTGGAGGAACAACCACAATCGCTGCTGATTTTGGGGCTAGGAGAGGAGGCGAATCAATCGAGACGAAGGAGAAGATTTATGCCAATAAGAAAGCGAATGAATAGGTATATACTTCTTTGTCCGAATTGAGTTTTTTTTTTTTTTGGAAACCCCAACATTTGATTTTGCTAAGATCCCAATTTCTTTCATTGTATGGTTTTGTTCTTGATTCCAGTCACTGTATTTCTTCTTGCGTATTGGGTTTGTTTCGTACTTTTTCTGATTCTGTTTCAATTACTCTGTTTTATTCTTTGTGACACGCAACAAATATTAACCAAATGTTTTCTTTCCATTACCATTGTAAGGGTGCTCCTTTTTAGGGTTCAAGTATTTAAACAACTACAGATGTCCACTGATATGGGCAATCACTTTTTTCCACAGTGGAGTTGAGGGCTTTAGAGGTCATGATAATGAAGAAGGTCGCTACATCATCGTAACCCCAAAGAGCTTCTCACTATGGATTTGATTTTGGGAAGAACAGAGACTTTTGATGATTTTTATCGGTTGAATTGTATAATCTGAGGTTTCCCGCAAAAAGAAAATGTTCTGTTTCCTAGATTTTTTAGGCTATCTGAGTGTTGATGTAGGAATGGTTTATGGATGATAGCAATGAAGACCAGAGACTTCCTCATCATCGTAACCCCAAAGAGCTTCTCACTATGGATTAGTTGGCAGGTCTCTCTCCACTTCAACTTACTCTTACTTTTTTTTTTTGCAAAACGATTGCTTCCATATTATAACTCAATCTCTAACTGGAATGTTTCCATGATTAGATATATACAAGAGCAGAGCATGCAACTTTAAAAAAATGTCTCTAGCAATAGTTGTGATGTGTTTTGCAGATCTGGGAGTATTGTACTGGAAGTTGAACCCTGATAACTATGAGCATGATTCCGAGCTAGGCAAAATTAGAGATGAAAGGGGTTATGATTACATGGTATGTGTGGTGGTTACCCTTTTCTGATTACTTTAGGATCAATCTCACTCATGCTCACCATCTATGGCCATTGATGTTGTTTGTTTGTTGCATATTAATCTTTATTGTAGGATTTGCTGGATCCGTGTCCTGAGAAAGTCAGCAACTACGAGTAGAAGCTGAAGAACTTTTTCACTAAACACATTCACAAGGACGAAGAGATTCGTTACTGTTTTGCAGGAAGTGGCTATTTCGATGTTATGGACAAGGATGACCGTTGGATCCGAATCTGGATGAAACCGGGAGATCTCATTGTCCTTCCTGCCGGGATCTACCACCGCTTCACTCTCGACACCAGCAACTATATCAAGGTATAATACAGCCTCTCTACTAAAACGATGATGAAACTATTTGGTACTTCAAAAATATTTTTAAAATACAGCCTCTCTACTAATGCAAACGCTTTCATTTTAAAAATATTTGGTACTTCAAAAATTAAAATATGCATATAACAAAATATNAACTATTTGGTACTTCAAAAATATTTTTAAAATACAGCCTCTCTACTAATGCAAACGCTTTCATTTTAAAAATATTTGGTACTTCAAAAATTAAAATATGCATATAACAAAATATAGAACTTCCTTAATTTCGAAATACATATAACCTTCATTAATCTTTCGTACTGAATGGATACATTATTTGACATTAAGCTATATGGTATTTCTTTGTCTTCCCAAATTGATATGTTGATGAATCTTTAGTACTGAATGGACACATAATTTGACTCAAATTTTTTAACCCTTTTTCAGTTTTTGTGTGATTTAGTTAAGGAACACATCCATTAGCTGGAAGAGTGTAATGTCAAAACACCAAAAATATGCACTGCTATCCTTGGAAGAGTGTAATGACGAGACCATGCGTCCTCTCACATGTTATTTCTCTAAGACATTTCACCAAACACTTTCCAGGCGCAAAATCGCACACATATCTTCGCACTAGATTTCACTCCGACACTCACACCACAAGCACACCAACATCATATTTGAAAAGCCTCAGTTCCACTCAACAAAACCAAATCCATCTCTATGTCGACACCCTTCTCCAATGGAACCAGGTTTTTCGCTTTCCCTCTCTCTCTCTCTCTCGATTTCAGTTGGGAGTAGAGTAAAGTTTTGTTTGTGGCTTCTTGTGTGAGCTTGAATTGGTCTTTTGAAATGTGCAGAAAATGAATCTTACAGCAACCAAAGAAGCTGATGAAGTCATGGAGAGACATATTGAAGATTCTCTTGCGATATTGCCTCATATAAGTAGGCTATTTATTTTGTACAGAAGCACACTTTCTCTTCATTTTAATTAGGCTATTTAATCAAATATCAGGTAGCTTTATATGTACTACTAACAGCTGCAGGTTGTTAATTTCGGACTTGGAGATTTGGTAGAGAAAACATGTATACGGAATAATTGACGTATATTTAATCTATGACATTATTATCTAGACTCCACGACATATTGATACAATTAACATATAGCCTATTAACATCTTCACTAACTGTTATACTAATAAGTTGGTATGGTCATTTATATAATATTTGGCTTCTCTCTTTTTTTGCCCCACGACATATTAGCAAACACACACACACACATATATATATATATATATAATACTTTAATATTGTATTGATATCCAAGAACACTTTTGAATAACTCCACGACATATATGATCGAGGATATATAGAAAATTTGTCGTATAGGCGAAATTATAGGCGAAATCTTTTCAATTTAAAACTAAAGAGAAATCTGGTTTAACTATTCAACAGAATACTAAATCTCGCCATACTAAAAAGATTCTAAAGAATGTTTTTTTTTTGAAAAAGGACATTCAATTGTAAATAATGTTTCAGTCAAAACATTATTTAGACTTTTAGCATTAATATTATTTAATTAACCCAAATAATATTAATGTCTATTTATACCTAATCCTCAATTATACTATTATAATTAGAAACAACCAATAAACTATATTGATTTTTTGGTATATGATCAATATAAAGAATTAGAATGTAAATCATATATTTTTTTTGCTAAAATTCATTAAATGATATTATAAGAAAATATAAAGGTAAAATATGTTAAATCAAAGCTTTTAAATCTGACATATACATTAAACACTATTTTTGGTCATTGGGTTATTTTGTTGATCGCGGATGAGCCAGTCGTCAACAATTTATTACGTTTTAATATATATATATATATATATATATATATATATATATATATACTATTAAAACACAAGGCCTGTTTAGGTCCTCTTGATTTTGGGAAGTATTTACAGATCTTTGCCACTGCATTATTTAAACTTATAGTTTTTATTAATTATTTTTCCACCAAATATTTTTCCAACAAAATATATATTGCCTTGATTATCTCTCCATTTTATTTTAATAACAAGATTATGTCATTGATTTGAACTACAAAATCCATATTCCTAAATGTCGCCAGTTATGGTGATAATTATAGAAATATCATGTTTATTAATTATCTTAATATATTTTCAATTTTTATTTATAATTTGCTTTTGACTATATGGTAAAAAGTAACTATTCCTAATGATATAAAAAGTATTTTTAAGAAAATACGAAAGTACTTAATGTTAAATAGTAATTTGCTGTTATATAACAGATTATAAAATCATGAACCAAACATTATATATGTACACCATCTATGCTAATGACTTATCTTTCAAGTAAATGTAATGTAATGGAGTAGAATTTCCGTTTTATAACAAACAAACATGTAAAATAAAAAGATATATATAGCGCATCATAAAATTTAAATTGAAATATAGTTCTTATAGTAGTTCATCAAATAAAAAATAAAAAATAGAATTTTCGTTTTATTTATACAATAAATATGTAAAATAAAATACCTAGAACTTAAATTGTTATAAACCTTTTAAGAGATATTTTGTAAAAAAATATTATAAAGAACTAACGAATTTAAGAGTATACATTTGTTAGAATGTAACAAATAAATTAATATGTGAGATAAACTCTTCAACTAGATAACTTATTAAGAATACTTTGTAATAGCATCATTTAAAATGTTTCTCCTCTTTTCAATTATCTTCTTCATTGCGACGAGATTTGCATATAAACAAATATGAAAACAAATGTTAATCATATAAGAATAAAAATGGTGATATTAAGGATATAATCTAATAAAATGAATATAACTTGGATTATGCGGAGATTTCAAAATGATAAAAAAAATTAATTGTTTTCATATTTATCTAAATGAGTATTATCTTTTAATTTGAAATTAAAATAAATAGAAAGAAAATATTTTTTGGTTTATACATTTCAAATTAATATTTTTGCCTATCATATCTAACTATAGTTGTATTTAATCAATATTACTTTATTTATATATTAAAAAACTAAATTCTCATTGTTTCCCATATGTTTTGGCATATGGTGACATGTTACACGGGTCAATCAGTGTCAGGTGACATGTTACTAACGGATTTTGGATTCTTTCCAAGTTTTATCAAAATTTTAAATAGCGGTGAATTAGTTAAATCCGAACTGAAATATATACATATCACTAAGTTTAGTTGCTTAATCTCAAACCCGTGTCCGGTATGATAACACTGCTCAACACAATTATAAATGTATTAAGTTGCAAAATTTCAACACATGTAATTTTATAATTATCAAATCTTTGTTTCGTATGAATCAATTTATAAAGAAAATATATCCCACTCTTGAAAAGATATGTGGTAGTCGCATGTCCAAGATATATTAAAGAGATATTGTCGGTATATTTGTGTTGGGCTTGGGTGGTTAATATGATGTATTGATTTATTTACGGGCTTGCAATAATTATTCGCAGTTGTATTTTGAATTTTTATGTTATTTTCTTATATAATTGTTTTGTTAATCATATTTTTAAACACATACCGTCTATATAATGCAATGTCAGTTTTTATGACCATAAGTTTTAAAATAAACAGTCGGTTGTATCTCTATTTATTTGATGTGACAATAATATCAACCAAGTTGTTTATAATAGTACGCTAAAATTATTTATTTTTTTATAAAAAATAAATAATTTTAGGGTACTATTATAAACAAGTTTGAACTCAAAATATAAACTATTACAAATTAATACTTTAGATTATCGAATAGAATTCATAATTTCATCGGGTCTCTAAAATTTGTTATCTAACTAAAACGAATAAGAAAAATCAATCTTATACCACACATTAAATTGTATGTAATCGTATTTAATCTATATACGTTGGACCAAACCAAAATTATTAATGACAATCTATCTGAACCCGGATACTCATGTATATACATATTTGTGAATAATCAAACAAGGACATAAATTTAAAGCAAAAACGGTTGTTCCGCCCTCTTTAAAGGCGGGTCAAAATCTAGTACATATTAAAATAGTTAGACTAAATCTATATAAGTAGGTCACGTTTCTAAGTTAGTAGAATAGATTTGTATTTACTTTGTAATCGGATTTGTGTAAAATATTTTTCTTAAATGATTAATAAGAGATTTTGATAATTGTATTAAAATAGTTGGACTAAACCTATATAAATAGATCATCTTTCTAACTTAATAGATGTTTAGATGCTAATAACTAAACTGTAAGTTTTTAAAAGTATTGAACTGTATATAATTCCCTTTAAACATTAAACCGTTCTTGTATAAGAAGCATTGCTAACAAAAAAAAAAACATTGCCAACAAAAATAAAATCAAATACTATTATTCAAAATAATAAACCATGATTGACAATGTTAGTGACAGAACGTGTGGATCTCCATTTTTCGTACAATTACTATTAAAAAGGACTTGCCAAAAATAAATAGGGAGTTGCAGTTTTTTAACTTCAAACCAAAATGTGCGTTTACAAAATTTAAAGAGTAATATTTCATTTTTGAAATATATAAAAATAAATAGTTGGCTGAAGCAGGTGGAGGGATATTGTGAAGCCATTATAAAACCAAAAATATTAAAACCAATGTTATATAATATATCTGATAGGTTAATTATAAAACCAAAAATATGAACCAAAGAACTAAATATTATAAGTAGAAGAATTGGTTGTAGTGTTGGAATGATCTATTCTATTAAAACAGCTGCATGACCAATTAATAAAAAAGTTTAGTCCAACAAAAATAATTAACTATACATATGTTTCTAATATAACTGCTACTTAAATATATTGTCAATATAACGACCATTTATATTGCCTAATAATCAGCCACCACTTTTTGTAACTGCATCCATATATTTTATTTAATAAAAAAAAAGTAAATAAAAATACGAATATTACGGGATGGCAAATAAAATAATTTCTGAGGATAACATCTACAAAAATAACGTAATCATCTTCCATTTGTTACCTAATGATGGGTCTTGATTTTGCTTCAAATAAAAAAGTCAAAACAACTAAAACTTTGCTTTTGTTTTCGAGGTTCCCTATAACAATTGGGGCATGAGTTACGAGTGGTCTTTTCATTTATACTAGGTCAAAATTTACAAAACTCATTTTAATTGCACGAAAAATTATTATGTGTAATATTATGTGATTACTATTTTATTAGTAAACAAAACTGAAACTATACTATTATTTTTTCTAAATTAATAACTGGTTAAGAATAAAGTACAAATTAATATATTTAATGGATATAGCACAAGTAGGAGTGGATGTTATGGTACTCATTTGAATTCAGTTTGGATCTTTTTGGATTTTGGGGTTTAACAATTACAACCCCGTTCGGATATTTAGAAGTTTTGGTTCAAATTTGGTTTTGATCCTTGCGGATTATGTTAAGGTTTGGATATTAAATCTAAACGTAACTAATATACTCAAGTATATAAATCTGATTCGGATATATTCGAATACTCAAAATATTTTGGTTCAGATCAGATTTGATTTGGGTTCTTTATAATTTTGAATATTAAACCGTTCGAATATTAAACCAGTTTTGGTTTAGATTTGGTACTACTTTTTCGTTTTAGATTCGGAGGGTTTGAATTTTTTGCACACTCCTAGGTACAAGTATATAGTTATTCAACATCATAAATTCAATACAATATCAAAACTTCTTACTAATAATTTGAAAAAAATATTTTACACAAATATGATTACAAAGAAAACACAAATATAAAAATTAAATTTCAAAAAAAATTGTCAAACAAAAAATATTAATCTATTAAAAATATACCTATATCAATATTATTAATACATGACCACTCCTATTTTTTGCCTCTACTTTTACCTGGTGTAATACTTAAAATGTCACTAGATCTACATTTTTGTTAAAAAAAAAACTGATTATTTCATAATTGTATCTAATTATCTACTAACTCTAACCACGCTAAATTTTGTATAACATAAGAGCATATACTTTTCTTCTAATAGATGCTACTAATACGGTCTAACCTATTTTTTAAAAGTATTTACATAACAAACAAAGGTAACTGCTTTTAAGAAAACACAGATATAACTAAAAACACACACAAATATAATTACAAGAAATAGATAAATATAAAAATTATTTTTTAAAAAAAAATGTAAAACAAAGTATATACCCGCCCTCTGGAGGACGGGTCCGTATCTAGTAAATAGTTAAATACCATGAATCTCTGGAACTTGACAGTGACCTGTTACGATGACTTTCGTATAACTTGACATTAGTTGTACCATCAACTACTATATGCTAGTCAAGTACTATGTATTAGTTATTTATTTTTACTCGTTCAAAGAAATTTTGTAACTGTCGCGATGTGTTTGAGAAAAATTCCGAAAATATTGGAACTAAAAGAGAAATTAAAAATATTTATATTATTACTTGGTGGTTACTATACATTGGCAGTTTATATCTTTAAAAATATACATAATTAATTGGACCCAACAAATATCAATAGATCATGTTTCTAAATTAATAGTATTGATCACAAATATAAAAATGTTATCCCCTATATATTATTTGTGAAGTGATTTTGCCACATGTTCTCTCTAGAATTAGTTTCACAAAAAATGATGACATATCTACTATAATTGATGACATGACATATGATTAAATATGACATGGACAATTGCATTTAATGTTAATATATATTTTTGGAAAACATAATAGAATATGGTAACAACTCATATATTACATTTAATGTCGATTTATATTCTTGGAAATATTTTTAAAATATGGCAATAACTAATAAATCATCATTAAAATAAATATATATCAATATGGCATTAAAAATATACATTATTTGTTAAGTGATTTTGCCACATGTCCTCTCTATAATCAGTTTCACAGAAAAATGATGACATGTGTACTAGAATTGATGACATGACATATGATTAAATATGTTATGAACAATTGCATTTAATGTTAATATATATTCTTAGAAAACTTTATAGAATATAGTAACAACTCATATATTACATTTAATGTCGATTTATATTTTTGGAAATATTTTTAAAATATGGTAATAACTAATAAATCATCATTAAAATAAATATATACCAATATGGCATTAAAATTTTCGAAAATATCATTTAATTATATATTTTAAAACTATAAATTTTATTACAAAAATTTTAAAAATGTATACATTTTTTTGAAAATTATTAGAATTTAATCCTAAAATTATTAAGTTCTTATATATTTAAAAAATTTAATAAATATTGTCTAATTTTAATTTTTGCTAATTTTAAAATTTTCTAAAAATTTATTTAATATATTTAATTAAAATAAATAGATAAAAAAATTATCTAAGATTATAATTTTAAATATATACATGCATATTCTTAAATATAATTTGAAATAAACGAAAATATTTATATATTACTTTTTATGTTTGATTAAACAAAAATTTGTATTAAAATAGTGATAAGAAAAAGAAATCATAAATTATCATTAAGATAATAAATAATATAATATTAGAAAGATAAATATAATAATATTACAAATATTGAAATATTTTTAAGTGTATTTTTTAATTATATATTTTTTATTAATAATTTTTTTTTTTCAAAATTTTATGCAGTATTTTTTAAAATTAAAATTTTCTAATCCCAATACCATTAGATTTATAACATCTATAAATTTTAGAAATATTATTTAGTTTTATATTTTGATAATTATATATCTAACAAAATTTTCTCTTAATAGTATAGAATCTGATTTAATATAATTTAACCAAAAGATAAAATATACATATATATTACTAAATATAAATTTAAGAAATTATTTTAAGATAGATCTAAAAAAAAGTTTTAATCACAAATATAGACTTTAAAATAAAAATGACCAAGATAGACTTAAATGTTTTATAAAAAATAAGTAAATATACATTTATATTATTTGGATTAACTAATCGTAAACTTTTTTGTTTAAAGTTGATGAGTGGAGATATGTGGATAAGATTACAAATTTTTTTAAAAAAAATTGAAATTTGCAAAATAAAAAATGTTGTTTTGGTCATTTTAATTTTAAGATCTATTTTTGTGAAAAAACCTAAAAAATTCTGTTTGAAAGAACTGTCATATATTTAAATAAAAATGTTATTTTCTCTTAATTTTTACATATAATTAATGAAAAATGAATAATATAATAAAATATTAAATTTAAAAATTAATTAAATTTTATTTTTAAATATAAATTTATTTTAAAACTTTTCTTTGCAGGAAGCCACCTAGTATACATGATTTCACAACTGATAGTTCCATTTTATGAGAATGTATGTCTATGTCTGACTCCACCAACCCCATCCGCTTATGAAAATCAACACCTAAACCGATTTTACTTATATTATGTCGAAGATCTCATATAATTCTTCATCTCTTAATCTACCGTAATTGTGTAATATATCACGTTTTCTGAGTTCCAAACCCAAACTTTTTTTTTTCCAAACCCACACTTCCAGTGTAGATAAATTAACGAACCCTTAAACAAATAACTGGATCAAGTAAGTTTACGCAGTAAATGAATTACTTAGGACGTAAGGAATAATTTTGTATTTCCTGCTTAAAAATCCAACTAAACAAATACTCCCTCCCTTTGATGAAAAAAAAAAAAAAAAAAACTCCCTCCCTATGAATCACTGAAGATCCGAGAAAGAAGCTCCATATCCACAGAAATAAAACCGGGCTGTTAGCAGACCTGGCCCAAATAAGTTCCACACACACAAGAGAGTATCAGTTTAAAGGGCTTTCTAGAGATTAGGTTTTAGAGCAAAAAAGTCTTCAGACATCATCATCGGCTAGGGTTTGGTTAGTACTTCTCTCTCTCTATTGAACGCAGCTTCTCTCTGTCACTCACTTTTGTTGTGCGTCGAAACAACGGTGTCTGAATCTGATTCTTATTTTTTTTTCCTTCTTCTTCTTCATGAATTCGTATAGGCAATAAAAGGTTTTCTTCATCCTCAAAAATAATCTCGGGAACTAGTCGGTCTTTCGAATCAATTAGGAGACCGGAGTAATGGCGACTGTGAACCCTTTCGATCTCTTGGACGATGACACAGAGGATCCTAGCCAGCTCGCTGCGGCTAAGCCATTGAAGGTAGCAGAGAAAGCTGCTCCAGCTCAGCCTGCTAAGCTGCCTACTAAGCCACTTCCTCCTTCTCAAGCCGGTGAGATTTTTGTTTTTGATTCTGTTTCTCAACTTTAGCACTGTTTGGTAGATTTGTATGTTACCTAGTCTTTGGTTGAGTAATAAAGTCAAACTTCATTGCTTCTTTTGTCTGAAGAGATCAGAGTCTTACAAGTGAGCTTAACCTCGTTTGGTCGTTTTATGTTCTTTATTATATTTATCAAATTATTGAAAACTCGCAGTTTATTTGATTTGAACTAATGTTTTCTTTGATTTTGAGTAGTGAGGGAGGGAAAGAACGGTCCTGGTGGAGGTCGTGGTGGTCGTGGAGGACGCGGTGGCCGTGGTGGATTCAACAGGAACAGTGATGCTCCTGCTAATGAGAACGGATATGGTGGAGGCTACAGACGCACAGAAGAAGGAGATGGAGGGAGACGTGGTGGGTCTGTTGGTGGATACCGAGGTCGTGGTGGTGGTCGCCGTGGAGGCTACAACAATGGAGAGTCTGGTGACTTTGAACGCCCACGTAGGAACTTTGACCGCCACCAGAGTGGAACAGGTCACGGGTAAGCAAGCTTCTTAAATTGATACACTCTATTGTAAGTGTTTGATCTTGGTGTGTGGTTTGTGATTATTAACTTATTGATTTGTGTAGAAATGAGTTTAAACGTGATGGAGCTGGCCGTGGCAACTGGGGAACCAATGAAGATGAAGTTCCTCCGTAAGTTTTGTATTAGGTAGACATGTGGTTTTTGGTTTGATTGGTATCTTGAGAATAAACACTTGTTTGTTGCAATCACTAGGGTGACTGAAGAATCCACAACTGTTGTGGAGAAGAGTTTACCTGTTGAGAAGGAAGGTGAAGCAACTGATGCAAACAAAGATACACCTGTTGAAGCTCAAGCTGAGAAAGAGCTTGAGGACAAGGTGCAGTGTCATCTCTTCTCATCATGTGAACAAGTTAAAAGGAATGTTATGTAACTGTAATTTGCTGGTTGTAGGAGATGACTCTGGAGGAGTATGAGAAAGTCTTGGAGGAGAAGAGGAAAGCTCTGCAGGCGACCAAGGTTGAGGAGAGGAAGGTTGACACGAAAGTGTTCGAGGCCATGCAGCAGCTCTCAAGCAAAAAGAGCAACAACGATGAGGTCTTCATCAAACTGGTCCGTTTTCTGAACTCTTCTAGATTGTATTTTGGTCTCACTAATCTTCTGTTATACTGAACCTTGAAATGGTGGTGTTATCAGGGAACAGAGAAGGACAAGCGCCCAGTTGAGAAAGAAGAGAAGACCAAGAAGGTCCGTAGTCTACAACCAAATAGGCTTAAGCATTTTTGTTCAAATGATTTCTCATGCTTATACCTTTCTCTGTGGTATCTGTCTTTTTTTGTAGTCGTTGAGCATAAATGAGTTTCTGAAACCTGCCAATGGCGAGAGTTACAGAGGTGGTTACCGTGGTGGAAGAGCAAACCGTGGACCAAGAGAGGGAGCCGACAGAGGAGGTCGTGGACCAAGAGAGGGAGCTGACAGAGGAGGTCGTGGGCCAAGAGGAGCCGACAGAGGTGGTCGTGGACCAAGAGGAGACAACGGAGGAGCAGACAAGAGGGATGCTGCTCCAAAATTCGTCGCCCCTGCACCAAAGATTGAAGACGCTGCACAGTTCCCTACTCTGGGAAAGTAAGGCTCTCCGGTTTGGTCCGTTCAGCCTCTGTCTGGACTCTTTTAGTTTTTGTAATCTCTCTCACCCGGTTTGGATTTTGTTCTTCTGATTCTATTGTTAAACACTAAAAGCTTTTTGTTTTACGAACCCAAGTTTGGGAGTTTTTGATCAAGTTCGATGAGGCAGAAAACAAAATTTTTCATTCTCCATCCTTGTGTAATCTTTAGCTCTATGACTTGATAAAAATTAACCGCTTAGCTTTTCATAAATGAGAATTTACTAAGAAGTTTATCACTGCCAGTACATTACAAAGAATATAGAATTTTTTTTTGGACAAACTGAAAAACAAAGACCAGATGAAGAACAACGATGTATCAGATGTCTTACATGCATACGAAGGAGATAACATAGGGTTAATAAGTGTTTCTCAGGGGGAATTAAGAAGAGCAGCAGCCTGATTGTTGGTTTACTGGTTGTCCTTTGATCTGGACCGTTGCTGGCTTGGATCCTCCTGCAGGTTGACTCGCCATTCTACAGGAAAAAAAAATGGATTAAGGCCACTCGATAAGTGTAACCAATGTAAGATGTATATAATGAATTGTGTGGGTTACCTTGTCTTGATTGCAGCAGTCATGGCCATGAAAGCTTCTTCGACATTGGTGGCATTCTTGGCACTTGTTTCCAAGAACGGGATCCCAAGTTCATCTGCGAAAGCCTGTTGTTGGCAGAAGAAAAAAAACATTACAGTAAATCCTTCAGTAAAGAAGCTTAGCTGTGAAGCATATGTACCTGAGCTGTCTCAGTGGAAACAACTTTCTGGGACGTGAGATCGTTTTTGTTCCCAACCAGTAGCTTGTTCACATTCTCACTGGCGTAGCGGTCGATTTCATTAAGCCATTGCTTGACATTGTTGAAGCTTTCTTGGTCTGTTACATCATAAGTAACCTGACAAAAAAGAAAAAGAAAAAGAAAAGACGATTCAGAGTCTAATTGATGTAACGTGGAGATAAATAAGATTGTTAGTGTTGTGCATGCATACAATGATTCCATGAGCTCCTCTGTAGTAACTACTAGTGATGGTTCTGAAACGCTCTTGACCAGCCGTATCCCACTGCAAAAAATTGGTGATAACAATAAGAAGAGGTGAGGTGATGAATACGCAGATAGTAATCTCAAGTGATTGTGACAGGAACTTACAATCTGGAGTTTGATGGTCTTTCCATCTTGTTCGACTGTTCGGATTTTCTACAAAAAGAGAATTTATTAACAATTTCATGCATAAGAAAGTGATAAGTGATGAAGAGAGTAGGCTTACAAAGTCAACACCAATGGTGCTTATGTAGCTATCCAGGTAGGAATCATCCTACACAATACACACACACACACCACTTCAAAAAGAGCACTAAATGTAGAAAGCCTATAACAGTATTCAATATCACTAAAGCATAATAAAACTAGGTGATCTGATGATTGTAATGACTTCAGAAAAAGTTGTGGCAAATAAAGAGAGAGAGAGAGAGAGAGAGATGTGCAATGACTTACAGCAAACCTAAGAAGCAAGCATGACTTGCCAACACCAGAATCACCAATGAGCAAAAGCTTGAACAGATAATCACTGCAAATCACAAGAGTAGAAAGATGTAATCAGTGATCGCGAAACTGAAAACGCAACCTCAATCAATCAATCAATCAATCTCTGTGATTCAAATCAAGAGAAACAACAGATCTCAAACCTAAAGATGTAATCAAAATACGAATCGAAGTCGTGAAATCGATCCCAAGATAGAAACTAAACATGTTATATATATAAAATTCGATCGATCTGAAGGATATGAGGGAAGAAAAGGAAGGTTTCTTACTATTCAGGATTCATGGTTGATCTCGCAGCTGAACCGATCGATCTACTGGTAGTTGCCAACGGTGGCGATTGAGAGAGAGACGTAAACGATGGCTTTGTGTCGACGAACGACGACGTGGTTAAGAAATAAGAAAGGCCCACACTTGATTGTTTTGGTCATTTTAAATACGTCTCTTTTTTTTTTGTTTTTTTTTTTGAATTGTTGACGTGTCATCTCCAACCCAGAGAAGATGCCTGCAAGTAGAGAGAAAGTTTCAATTCTTCTTTTTACTAACATTTTTAATTAATTTTATATGATCAAATGATTTAAATAATTAAAAACGTTAAATCGAATCTAGTTTGCTTTTGTTGTTTACTTTACAGATTCATCTTTTTTAGTTTATTTACTAAGCATTGGCACATGTAAGTAGGCTGAGAAAATACCGAACTTAGCTTGAATTTGATTCAACAAAAATCCTAATGTTTGGCTTTCAGACCGACCGCATCATGCTTTATTCATATATCTAATTACGAGTGTGCCGCTAGAGGAGCTACACATACACACCACGTCAATGACGCTGACAAACTTGTGTCTCTAGTTAGAGAGCTAGCAACATTAAAGCAGGTGTTGGCTTCGGCATTATTAACTTAACTTCTTCTTGTTCTCTGTTTTGTTCAAAAGATAAGATCCCTGGGCACTACAACAAGCTCCTCAATTTTGTATACATGAGCTTGAGTTACTTGGATTTATTGTTGGTTATGCAAGGTCCCTTGAGTTGCTTACTTGGACTAGTCGCTCTCTTATCATCTTCATTAACGCAGTGAAATCTACACAATCTTCAATCTTCTATTATCATAAGCACCAGTCTGATGAATTTTTCAAGGAAACTGCATTTAACTCGGAAGAAAGAGTGAGACTACCACAAATCAAACCGAGATAGATGATCATGCGCCTCAAGAAAACATGTGGACACAAAAGTATCTCGCATGAACAAGAGCTCCTCTGCTGATTCAAGAACGTTTAATACAGAACTGAGACAACAAGACACAACTGCAGAAGAACGACAGGTAACGATTCTGTCACAGAATGTTTCACCCTCTACACTTTTATCTCAAAACGCTTTCCAAGGTTTGATTGTGTTTTGTGTAGGTGATCAAAAGCTCGTTAACCAACTAACGGAAGTGAACAAAAAAGCTTCCAACAGAGAAAAAAATATGTAAACCAATTCTTTCATTTGTTATTAGATAAAAAAATATATCAGACAAAACACAGAATACAAAAGTTTCTCTGCAAACCTTTAATTATTACATAACAGAACAAAACTCTTTGCGCAAACAATGGCTTCTGTTCACACCAGCTGCTCTCTTCTCCATCACCTTCTGTCGTCTAAGAGTGGTTCACACCCAGGAACTGCAAATAAAAAAAACGAAGATAAAACTAGTCAGATCAACGTTTCTGCAAAAACACAATAAAAGATTTGGTGCCATTTACCTTCATCAACATATCCAAGTTTCTCTCTAATCTCAGCAATAACCAAACGGGTCAAAAGCAACCCAGCACAAAGAGCCCCAGCGACCAGCATATAAAACACAGCTTCCCAACCCAAGGTCGAAAGAAACCCTGTCAGAAGAGGACCCAACGCCGCACCAGCAGATCCAGTCCCATCAATGATAGCAGTCACAGTAGCAAGCGCCCTGGAATCTCCTTGTAATGACTTGTGCGTTCCGAGATCAGCAGAGACTGCGGTTGTAATGAGTGCATAAGGTCCATTCACAAACAAACCAGCAACCATCATGAGGATTACGTTGACCGTCTGAGAGACGCCTCCATAGGAATGGTACACAAGCATTGCCGGAATCGCAGCGTACATGAACGTTGCTGCGGTAGTAGCTCTTGCTTTAAACTTGTCTGAAATGTAACCAGCGAGAATCCCTCCTACGATGCCTCCAACGTCGAAAAGCGTCGAGAGGTTTCCTGCTGTCTTCACAGACATATACTCTCCACCAATAGCTGCACATATAAAAAGCAAGTTAAGAACATTATAAAGCTATCTGAGACTGACTTTCGAAAACTTACTTGTTTGGCTCAGATAAAAAGGTAACCAGTACAAGAACGTGTACGCGACCAGCTTCGAGAAGAATAGACAGAGAGCAAATGGTATCACACCAGGAATCATACAAGCTTGCAAAAGACCAACACTTCTTTTATTCTCATACCCTTGTCCTGACTCTGAACTCTCCCCTTCCTCTTCAACATCTACTTCTTCCACCTCTTCTTCTTCGATATCTCGGTGCCTCTTAATGAACTTACCGGAATTAGAATTGATATCAGGAAACCCAACATCCTCAGGGTACGCAGCCAAGAACAAGTAAACAATAACACCTCCTAAAGACATAACAAAACCAGGAGCTATAAAAGACCAACCCCAACCGTACTGAAGAACACCAGCAGCTATCAAGGAACCACAAATGTTCCCAACAGAAGTATGAGCATTCCAAATCCCCATTATAAGCCCTCTCTTCCTCTTCCCAAACCAGTTCCCGACAACAGCCACAACAGAAGGCCAACCCGTGGCCTGAAACAACCCAGCCGCCATTTGCATCACCAAGAAAAACCAAAACGCGTGAATGTTCCAGAAGTAACCCATCCCAAACAGCCCCACAAAGAACCCACTCCCAATCATTCCCCAAGTCAGAAACAACCTCAGATCCAAACTATCACCCAAATGTCCAGCAACGTACATCCCCAAAGAGTAACAAGCGAGAAACGCCACGTCTATCTCTCCCAACCTCGACGTGCCACCTTTGCCATTAAACGGTTCCCATCCTTTAGGAACATGGTTCTCATCTGTATCTTCCTTCACGAACACGTTTCCCAAAGGCCAAGGATGCTCGTTGATTTGAGGTGGCTTAGTGCTGGACTCGGGGTGTAAAACGCTTTTGACTATGCTGCTGGGTTTGCGAGAAGCGTGGTAACATGCGTAGGCGATGAAAGTTATCAATAGAATTGCGTAACGAAACGTCTTTGGGCTCCAGTTTCTTCCTCTGACTCTCCTCAGGAGTAGAATCCCAGGTGGTGTCTTCCTCTTCGAACCCATCGCCATCGTTCGTTAAAAACAAGTTTTTTTTTTTTGGTTTTCAATAATAAAAAAAATGATAATAATCGAGACAAAGAATCAAACTTTATGGATCAGAATCAAATACCCAAATAATCCATGGTTCTGTGTTTTGAGAAATGAGAATCGCGAATTTTAGTTTGATTTAAGAGAGGAAGATTAGAGGAGAGAGAGAAGATAACGGGAGGGAGAGAGAGAAAAACGACATAATGTGTTAAAGATGTGACACGTGTCCTCTTCGTTACGGAAGAGCCAAAAGACAGAACAGAGTTGTCACGCCACGTTGACGACTTTAGTTCGCATGAAGCGACGGCGCGTGACCGACGTCATCTAAAGGCGGGGACCAGAATTACAGGTTAATGTAAGCATCGTATCATAGCATGGTGGGTCAGCCAAATGCATAGAAAGAATATAGCAGCAGCCTCTCGAATCTCTTAGTAAATAAGATTCATCTTAATTAGATCTATTAGTAAATTTATTTAATTAAATTAACATTTATAAATCATAAAACCAATAGCATATTGCCATATATATACTTATATATAAATTTTAAAAATTTAAAGGGATTAATATTGGACTTATTAGTTTGAGTGTCTACATACATTGAATTCATAAACCAATAACCCCACTAGTTGACTATTTGATACTCATTTTATATTTGTGATAATTATTGATAATACGTAGGACGGACGATAACAAAAAATATACTATGAAAGCCCAATAGATTTAGTAAACGGCCCATTAAAATCCCCACACGTGTGATTAGAAAGAAAGCAGATAAGGTTGGTTCACTAGCCTTCCTCCGAGAGTGATAACCATGGCGACGAGCTCTCATCTTCTTCCTCCTCAGGTTATCTTCTCTATCTCACACACATTGAATACACCAAATGTTGACTACTCCGTATGATTACAGGCATTGCATATGATACCGAGAAACCCTACGCAGAAACTAGGGTTTTCATCGTTCCTATCATGCGCACCTCAGATGCATCCTCCTCTTTCAATTTCAAGGCTTTCTCTGAACCACTCCGTCTCGAAATCTAGCTTCTCACTCCACACTAAGGCGAGACGAGAGGTTCTCGTTAGAGCAGAAGGTGAAGGTGAAGGTGAAGCTGAACCTAACGCTGCTACGGAGGGTAATGTGGTAGATGTTGAAGCTCCAAGAACGCCTAGAATTAAGCTCGGAGACGTAATGGGAGTAAGTCTTGAGAGACTTGGTTTCTTGATTAGTGCTGATTCAAAACCAGTGTTGTTGTTTGTGTGTAGATACTGAACCAGAGAGCAATTGAAGTATCTGAGAAAGTGAGACCTGTTCCTGAAATCAGGACTGGAGATATCGTTGAGATCAAACTGGTGAAGTTCTTGATTGATGCTTGGAAGCTTCTTATTTCATTGTGTTAGACTCAAAAGTTTTGATATGCTGTTTTTCACTTATTTGCAGGAAGTTCCTGAGAACAGACGTAGGTTGTCTATCTACAAAGGCATAGTTATGTCGAGACAGAACGCTGGGATACACACTACCATTCGTATTCGCAGGATTATTGCTGGTATCGGTGTTGAAATCGTGTTTCCCATGTAAGCTTCTGAGCTTTTACGTTTTCACTCATGCCTGGCTTTTCACTCTTTCCCAACTTTTATGTATAGATAGAGTTATACACTCTAGTTTTTTTTGCTAGACAAATGTGATTATATAATCTGTGCATAGGTATAACTCTTAATAACTAAGTCGGTAGCTACTAGGCCTTCCTAGTTATGGCAGTTTAAATCATGTCTGCTCATGTTTCACATACGAGTGTTGAGGAACTTCATGTAATGTATCGACTGTGGAATTTAGTAAAGGTGTTTGTTTTTGTTTTAATTGACATTGTGGTTTTGATTTGACAGATACTCTCCAAACATCAAAGAGATTAAAGTGGCGAGTCACAGAAAAGTGAGAAGAGCAAGGCTTTACTATCTCAGGGACAAGCTTCCTCGTCTCTCCACTTTCAAGTGAACACCATCCACTCTACTGTGTTTGACCAACTAAGTCAGTAATCTTCCGTTGTTTTCTCAGCCACTGTAAGAATTGTTCCTTTCTGTTTTTATTTATTTATTAAGCTTGTAAGTCATGACATGCACATTCTTCTGAGAAAGTAATTCAAAGATTAGTCGAGATTCCACTTGGTGAATGTAGACCTGATCCTTGTTTGATTATGAAATGATATATAACCCTTTTAGAACTCGTTCTTGTTTTATTCTTTTTGGACGTAGTCATAATAATGATTCGAATCTTGATTTTGGTTTTATAGAAGTGGAACACGACTTCTTATTATTTAGGTTATCCTAGTTTTATCTCATGAATCAAAATGATTTTTCCAGCTAAACCGTTGAAATTGTACATTCATCACGTCTGGTTATTTATGTATTCATTCCATTCCATCATTAAAATATATGAAACGTGTCTCCCTATCTTTGGCAATTGACATTGGAACTCATACTACAATATACTATAACATCCACTATCATTTGTTCCTCCGTAGAGATAAGTTGATAAATGTTTTTTGGTAAAGAAATCATGAATCAAGATAAAGTATTATTTTATAAACTGGACAACTCCATGTGTATATGTATTAATCCCAAAATCTAATACAGTACTCGTTTACTCCATTATCTGCATTTAGGGAGTTTACATGATATTAAGTATCATCTAATCCTATACAAAAGAAAATCAGAAACTAAAATTCCAATAAAAGAAGCCCACAAAAAATGAAAATAATGATTAATTTCATTGAAAGAGAAGATGCATTATGTATGTATAGATAAGAATAACGTTATGATATGTATATATAAGACCCACCTTATAACATGTACCCACCAAAGAGAGGCCCACGACTCAAATGAAAAAAAAGGCATGTTTTATGTTTGCATATTCCAGTTTCTAAAGCAGAAACTTCACTTGGTCCTTTCCTCAGAACGCCTAAAGAGTCTCTTTAATCAAATCTCAATCAAGCCTAAAGAGTCTTCCTCATCCTTCCACTACCACTGAGAAGCACCATGAAGTTTGAAGCTTTGTCTCCTCATAGTTGGTGAAGCAGCTCTGCTTGAGGAAACGACCCATTTGATGGCAAGTCCATAAGAAGTAGATCTTGATCAGAACTGCAGTTATTTTCATTTCCAAACTCCGTAGTACCACTTTCTTGCACAACCACAGAAGCCAGACTTCTTGGGCCGAAGCAAGAACCGTTGTTCTCTGTCAGAACTTTGCTTTCATCGCTTGCTTTCATCTTCGTCACACTTTTGGGACTCCTCATAAGCCCTCTTGACTCTGTAACCAAAACAAGAACATCAACAAAACACAAATATTGATCACATAATCAAACATAACAGATGAAAACATCCTTTAACTACTGACCTGACTTTACTTGAGTTTGGTTTTCACAACGTCTCTTAATGGTCACATTATTTTTAGGTACATTTGGGTTTAAGCTTCTTGAAGTTGTAGTAACAGAATCCCCGGACCCTTTTTCACGTTCCTGCATCAAAACATCCATGAACCTCTGCCCAAAATTTTTGCAAGTGAGCGTGACTTTAACAGTAAGCAGAAGAACCTTAAAGTGGTTATAGCTTTCCACCAAACGAGATTTGTTAAAATCAGACAACGCAAGCTTCTTAAAAGCCCTTATGTCTTCGAGTTTTGCCCCACAGGAAGAAGGCATCTCAAAGACACCATCTCCAATAAGTTTCTGAAACAAAGAGAAGTTCTCTTTGAACTGAGCACTTTCAAACATCATTCTGAGGCTGTAAAAAGCAAAATATAAGAAATTAGAATCTTTCTTAGGTCTAGTTTCATTGTTTGTTTGTTTTTTTTTTTGTTGAAAACAATACCTATCAGGAAGGCTAACAGAGTCAATCTGAGGAAGTAATCTCATCAGTTTCTTCTGTTCTTCCTCTGTGAAATGTTCTGTGAACTCATCAAAGTTGAAAACATCCTGCAATAAAGCATCATTCTTCAAGGCCATGAACACAAAGTCATTGATCTGAGACTTTCAAATGAAACTTACTTTCAAGTCTATACTACAAAGTGGTGAACCATGACTCCCAAGGACATGCACTCCTCCAGTTTGAGACTTGGTTCTGTCAACAATACAAAGACAGCTCTTGAGTTGTGAGTTAATGTACAGAGTGTCTTAGTAATGCGAATATTTTACCTCTTGAGCTGCTCTTGCTTTATTGCTTCCCCAACAAACTCTGAACCTCTCACTGCTCCAATTTCCGCACGCTTCTCGGAATGTGAGTATGCATCACTGATGGATGACTTGTTCTCAACCGAAGAGAGTGAGCTAGCTTCAGACTCCTCTTCCCGAGAAAAAGAGTATGGACTCTTCATCAGAACACTCCCATGTCCAATCTCAGCAGAGAACATCGACTCAAAAAGAAGATCTTGCTCTGACGAAATTGACGATTGCTGCTCTTGTAGAATATTGTAAAGGTCCTTTGTGAGCTTCTCAACAGAAGATGATGACTTTGGACGTCCCACACACGTCCTCCTCTTGCTGGGAACAGTCGTATCCCAAGCATTTAACTCAGTCCCATCTCCTGCACTGCTAAACTGTGCACAGCTCTCGGTGTTTGATATAGCCGAACCAGAACTTGATCTATTACTAGCATCTTCCTCTACCATGGCCTTCTTCAAACCATAATTGAATTCTAAGGCCTGTCTTTTGATGGGGAGGCTTTCTTGAATTGCTTTCCTCTTCAGCATCTTTGGTTCTGTGTTCTTGTTACTTACAGAGATGCTTTTCATTCTTTGATACCTCTGATGATCTTGGTTCTCTTCACCATCAGCACGAGCGTGGAGTGGCGCGTAGTTCACAAGTGTTCCCTTTGTTCTCCAACGCGATCCACACGCATTGCACAAAACTGGCTTCTCTGGTGGCCCATTTCTCCACAGAGGTGTGCCTGTTTCAGTGCACGAACATAATGTCAGTATATTGGAGATCTGAAACGAAGACGTTAACTTATGAGTTCTTCATCAGACAACACTTGAATTGTTACTTACAGAGCAAAAGTCAAACTCACACATATTTTTAATTTCGTATATCCATGAAGAACAATGATCCTGAAGTCTTTAACATCAACCTAAGCTAATCCAGAACATAATCTAGATCTTGTATTTATGACAATTAAACACAAGTTCAGATCCAAGAATCGAGTATTTGTTGCCTTATGCATTGATTCCAAACAGAGTGAGAACAATCAACACAAGAGAGTCACAAACAGAGACCCAAGTGTTGTTGTTCTAAAGATCATTGAACAAAAGCAAAACAATTGTAAGTGAACATAATTTTCCAAATGATCATTGGTCCAGGAAGTATTTGCTGTATCTCTTCAATAATTGTTAGACTTTGTTAACAAAATCATATTAACAAACAACCTGTAATCAAATTAACTCCCCATAAAAAGTGCATCTCAATCAGCAAACAAAAGGAAAGTTTATATATTGAATTATTGATGCAAAATATTTCTCATCACCAAATCAAAAATTGGAGATACAAGAACTCACTTGTAACTCCACAGTGGTAGCAAGGTCCTTGCTTCCCCATTATCTCTCTATATTCTTTTTTATCAAAAAGTTCCAATTTTTATAGACAACAATGAGAGAACTTTTTGGAAAGAAATTTCAAGTTGATAGCTTTTGTTTAATCTGGAGCTATAATTGGAATAACAAAACAGGAATATTAATTATTAAGATTTAAGAGACTTCTCTCCAGGAAATGAAAAAAAAAACAGAAAAAAAGTTTTTTTCTTCTGCATACGAAGAAACTGAAGCCAGCAAACTTCCTACGAGAAAATTAAACAAGAACAACACAAAATCTAATAAAACTCGAAAAAAGTTTCCTGATAATTAAAAATAAAACCAAAAGAAAATAACAATTTCAAGAGATAATTTTGTTTTTTTTTTTTTTTCTCTCTCTTTTTTTTTTGGTTGTTGGTTGCTTGAGCTATCAGTCTATTACAATCCAATAGAAAAGAGGAGAGGCTATTGAGGGAAGAGGAATCTAATAAATGGCTGTGAAAAGGGGAAAGAGAGAGGAACTGTGAGGGTTTTAGAGCGAGAAAGTGTTTTTAAAATGTATTTTTATGTCAACATAAATTTAGATGGCCTTGTTGCACAAAAAAAAAAAAATTAATGGCCTTTTTCATCTTCTTCTTTTTACTATAAAGTGATTTTTCAGTTTCCAAAATTAAGGGTCCGTTCAATTTAAATTTTAGTTATTAAAAATGGGATATATCAGATTATAATAATGTTGTATCATTTTGGGTCTATAACTAATGGTCATTAGATGTTAAAATAAAATAAAATAATGGTCATTAAAATGACCAAAGGAAGTTTGCGCAATATTATTGCCTATGTTTAATAATTCCTTCTTTCTTGTTGACTTTTAGAGTTTTCTTTCTTTCTTATTTGTTTTTCTTTTGATATTTCCAACGTATGCAATAAGTATAATAACGACAATTATATATTACTAACCATGATAAAGATAATTATAATATTCCCTCCATTTTTAATATAAGTCCTTTTAGAATTGTGGACATAATTTAAGAAAATAATTAATTTCTTATATTTTCTAAACAAAAATATTATTAATTATTTATCTAACTACAATACAATTAATCATAAAAGAAAATGTATATTATCATTTGTATATAACATTAACTTTTAATATCATTGAAAACATCATATAATTTACAACAAAAAATTCTTTAAAACGGCTATATTAAATATAGAGAAAGTTTATAATACGAGGACTTTTTTTCTAACAAAATTATCAATTTTTTTTCCTAAGTACCTATTTTGAAGTAAGTATAAGATAAATGCACTTAATTTTGAATTATTATTTTTTATTTGTAAATATAAGAATTTAATCTATACTATTAAAGCAGAATCCCTACTAGGATTCTGCCCATAGATTTTTGAGTTATTTACAAAGATATACCACTAGCATTTTCAATATAATTATTATTTATTTAAACTAAACAACTAAATATTTCCTATATTTATGGTAACTAATAATTCTCTGATCTTGTGCTTAATAATAATTTTATATTTATGAAATTTGTATTTTTGATCTCCTATTTTCGTGTATAATATCATTTAGTGATCGAAAATTAAAAATTATTATTTACTAAGTCATAATATTGATATGCCCATTCAATTTTTTTATAAATTACATTTTCGATATATAAATAAGTAAAAATGTAAAGTTATCATAGGTTATTAATAACAAAAAGAAACTAATATTGTTATATGAATAAATTATTTTCTATTACCATTGTTTCATTTTTTTCAAATGACAAAAATTCTTTAAAGTTTAAGAAATTACAGAAAAAAACAATTTTCTTTAATATTAAAAATAGGTGTTATTTAACTAAAGGTTTTTTAAAAATGTTATCAGTTTTTATGGAAATTTTAGCGGATCTACATATATTATATTGCGGGATATTTACCAGTTTTATCAATTTTATAATTAATAAAATTTCATTAAATCTTAACCGAAAATATAAATAAGTAAAAATGTAAAGTTATCATAGGTTATTAATCACAAAAAATAAACTAATATTGTTATATGAATAAATGTTTTTCTATTACCATTGTTTCATTTTTTTGAAATTACAAAAAAACAATGTTCTTTAATATTAAATATATGTGTCATAATATTGATATGCCCATTCAATTTTTTATAAATTACATTTTCGATATATAAATAAGTAAAAATGTAAAGTTATCATAGGTTATTAATAACAAAAATAAACTAATATTGTTATATGAAGAATTTGTTTCTATTTACTATTGTTTCATTTTTTTCAAATGACAAAAATTCTTTAAAGGTTAAGAAACTACAAAAAAAAAACAATTTTCTTTAATTTTTAAAATATGTGTTATTTAACTAAAGGTTTTTAAAAAATGTTATCAGTTTTATGGGAATTTTAGCGGATCTACAGATATTATACTGCGGGATATTTACCAGTTTTATCAATTTTTTAATTAATAAAATTTCATTCAATCTTAACCGAATTATACAATTATCAAAACTATGGGTATGAATCAGATATGGAAACACACAATATGTGAAAATCAAACAATATAATAGAACATTTTCATATTGACAGAACAACTTTGATTTTTTGTTAAAATAAAATGTATTAATTCAAATAAATTTTATCAAAAAGATAACATAAATCCGCGCTTTTAAAGCACGGGTCAAAATCCTAGTTCTCTTTTAAATCTCCTTCCAAGAGGAGCTGTAGAAGTGGTATGCAAATGTTTTTGTTTGCTGTCGACAATATGTGAAATCACACGGGAATATACCTAGTTCTCTAGTAAGAGTTTGATTATATGTGTATCATCTGATTTTACATACGGACATCGTCGGTGTTGAGTGTAAGTTATGTCAATAACAAGGGAATAAATAATAGACGATAGTTTTTCTTTAGCTTAGAAAAGACTTAAGAGTAAACTTAATAATTTTCATTGTGTCAATGAATGAAGAGATTAATTAATGTTCAAAAAATAAAAATAAATGAAGAGATAAGTTTTCTTATTGTGTATTCTCATGATCTAATAGCATGATTAATTTGGAATTCTCGAAAAAGGTTTTTAACGAAAGTTAAAAAATTGTTTTTTAATTTTTAATTAAAAAGCTAAGAATCGGTTTTTGAAGTCTCTATTTTTACATTTTAATTTTGGTCTCTTAGTCGGAATTCTTAACTCATGATTTGATCCCTTTTTTATTTTTTATACTTTTCGATAAAGAAACGGTTTTTAAATCTCTTATTTAAGAGACAATCTTATTTAAAAGACAATCTTATTTAAAAGACGGTTCTTATCTTTTTTTTTAGTTAAAAACTAAGTAAAATTAAGAACCATCTCTTAGTTGAAACTAAAAAATTCGGTTAAAAGACTAGAGTTAATGATGATCTTAATCTTTTTAGTTAAAATTTAAAATTTAATTTTTTTAACTTTCACTAACAACCCAACTCAAGACTCTAAACTCTGGGTTAAACATGATCTTATTCTTATTCATGTGTCTTTTTTTTTTACATCAAACGACTGATCTATTATTCAAGGAACTTGAGGTGGTCTGGGAATCCAGACCGGAATAGAACAACCAACGTACACAAGCTTACGATAGAAAGACCTAGCTATCTTAGCTAGAGAATCAGATACACCATTCTGTAATCTAGGAACATAAATGATCTTGAAGTCAGGGAAGCAGATCTTCAGAGTCTCCAGCTTTTCCAGTTCTGTTGAGAAGTTAGGCCACGCCTGAGGATTCTTGAGCATCTCAATCATCTCCTTGCAATCAGCTCCAAAGCTCTGACATGGCGAATGTTGAAGCATATTCTTCATTGCCCACCGCAGTGCTTCCAACTCTGAATGCAACGCCGATTCCACTCGATCAAAATTGCGCAACCCCATTAATTCACTATTTCCGAAATTTTCATTCAACACCCATCCACAGCCACTGAAAATATTTGTAGAGGTCCAAGAACCACCCACCATGCATATATTATCCAAACTTAAGGTCTGGTCTTCCTCTGTTCTGTTCCCAATGAACACCGAAATTTCCTGCTCATTTGCTTTGAACCATGCTTGGCATTCGCTTTCTGCATAACATTCAACCTCCAATGGTTCCCTATCAATACCTCTGAATAGCTTGTCATTCATAGCCTTCCAAATGTAGCAGATTAGCCAAGGATAAGGATCCCTGTCCAATTTCGGTTCCATTATCGCATTCTTCCTCCAGAACAAATAATCCATATTCGCATACGTACTTTGTACTGGGAACAAAGCGGGATTGGTAGGTATAGATGATAGTGACCAAACTTGTAAAGCAGGTGGACATTCAAATATTGCATGAGTGATCGTCTCCTCAGGTATCCCACAACGAGGATAATGGTTGTCACATCTCTTATGTCTGTAGTTTAAGATGTTCGTAACAGCTACATGTCCTGTTATCAACTGCCACATAAGATGACAAATCTTTTGGAGGGGGGGGGGCTCTAACCTTCCAAACATGTGCTTGGAGTTTAGTGATACTAGGCTCACATACTTCCGCTTCCTTTTTCTTCCTCAAGATATTATGTGCTACCCAGTAACCAGATTTAACTGTATACTGTCCATTCCTTGTATAGCTCCAGCAATATGTATTACCTCGATACGTGGAATTAATGGCCATACTCTTGATCAATGGTATATCAACTGCCGCAATATAATCTTGTAATCGCCGATCATCCCAACTCTTCGTTGTTTGATTAATCAAATCATTCACTCACATATTTGGATACATGACTAGAGTCAGGGGAGTTGCTGATCTCGCAAGTATAGTGGGAATCCAAGATTCTTGTTCATGTGTATGATGGCACATACTGGTAAAAAAACAAATATTTCCTAACAAGAACAGAAGACCAAACTAATTGATATATATTTTTCTCATAAAAAGAAAAAATACGAAAGAAGAAGAAGAAAGAAATGGCATGTAAAGTCACCGTCCATCATGACGATCATGGACACAACTCCTATCTCCACCATTTGATCTAGATAAAAGAAATTCAAACATGGGTCCCACATTCTATTTTGCTTTGGTGTTTGTGAATGTGATTAGGGAACTAATGCGGGACGAACACCGTATGTTATGCGTGTTTTCATTAATATAATTCAGATTTTGTATGATATGGCATGTATTGAATCTCAGGTTTGTTTGTTTTCTTTTTTGGTTTCATAGTTACTTATATACCAATAAAGAATCACAAATCAATGCAAAAATAATACTTTAGGAAAAATTTTCTCAACTACACGAAGTCTACTTTAATATGGTGAAACCCATCTAATCTATGAAAATCTATCAACAACTAAACCTAGTTTATGTTAATACATGTTACATATATAAATTAAATGATTATATGGTGGAGACATCACAATCAGGTTTAATTAATTTTACTTTAAGTTAATGGGGTCAATCTGTAATTTATTAAACTTAACCCCAAGT